GGGAGGGAAGCCTCCACAGCACTGCGAGATAGCACCCCCATGGTGTCATTGACGGCTAGGTCATCACCAGTGCTGTTCTGCCAGAGTTCACGCACTCTGAGCAAATACTGACTACCTCTCTCACCCTTTTGAGGTGGAATTCTACACAGCTCAACAGAGCGCACCTGTACTGGGAATTTCTGGTGTATCACTGGCCAGAGGCGATGAACTACAGTGTGGAGGGCAACATTATCATGATCCCCAATAGTATTTGCCATTAATTCTATCTCCCGTAACATGCTCAGAGAAGTACAGGCTGTAAAAACACGACGAAAATCTCCAAGTGCAGGCACAAATCCTGCGCACGCACCTAAAAATGCCTTAATCTACGGTGCACCTCCTTTCTCAATGTCAGGCAGCTGAGATTTAACCATACTCATATCTTGAAGGCTAAAGGGAGTGAAAGTCTGTGTTATCCCTCCCTGAGGTGAGATGGACTGTAGCAATGGCAGCTGGTGTGAAGGAAAGCCAAAACAATCATTAATGTTTCCTTGTCCTCCCTGCATACGTTGTGATGGAAAATCATGCACTGTGCCATCCCAGCTGGAATCACTCTCGTGAGACATTGATGGTACTGACACGTCACAACCATGTCTATCCTCTTCCTCTGTGAAAGAGCTAGTGGCAGAGGCGCATGCGCCGACAGCTGGAGTTATGACCTGGTCTACACAGCCAGATTTTAACTCATTCAGATAAGTCTGTTCTGTAAGTCTGTCAGCTTTACTTCCTGGAACTGATGCTGTGTTCAAAATTCCTCCCTGTACAACCGCCAGGGGCGCTGTGCCCTGTGATGCACTCTGTGGCATCTATAAGCCACTCTTCAATATTGACTTCCTCTCTCCTCGTGGAGATGGTGGGGAAGACTGCTGTGTGTGACTAAACTGTACCTTACAATCTCTATCAGAGACAGCTTGGACTGAAACAGCTGTGCCACTGGGAGAATTAACATCAACTGGTTTCTGTGATTTGCTTGAACTGGCTGAAGGAGACTGAAAACACTTAAAAGTCTCCAAAAAACATACACAATCGGCAAGAAAACCGTCAGCTTGTTTTAATCTGGCTTCTGTTTTGTTCCTAGTTAAAGAAATACAGGACTTCACTTCCTGTTCAGCCCTCACTGCACTTAGAGAGGCTTGCTTCAAAAACAGCCCTATAGCATCCCCTTGT